GGTGGGTGGTGATGACTAGCTACCTTCCCTCTAGTCTTACACTGCTAAATTAGGGACGGCTAGCGCAGATAGCCCTCGTATAGCTTTGCGCGAAATTCATAACAAACAATTCAATAGAAAATACCGCAAGCGTGTTATAAACCTAAAATGAAGGGCTTTATGAATCCAACACACTTAAAATCCTTTTTATAATGAAGAAAACTTCCAACTGTTTCAGACGATTACAGTAGATAAGTTTTGATCACGTCATCTGTTAGTTTTAAATACATTTACGTCATTGTAATTAAATAAGTAGATTGATAGATAAGTTAATGATTAATAATTAAAATTGAAAATTAAAGACTGGCGATTAAGCTTAAACAATTTTTTTTGTTGTGGTTGTATGTAGAGACTTGGAAAGCCAGGTGGAAGAACTTCGTGGAAATGTCATTAACAAAAGATGCCGAGTAAACATGAGCTCAGTCGAAAACATGGCAATTCTTTTGAGTAGAACTAGTAAAACAGTTGCTGATCTGAAAGGTAGGGTGGTCATTTTAAACCTTCTAACATAATAACCTAAAACATACATAAACTTACAGTTTGTATTCTGCACTCCGTAATGGGACTTACCTTTGTAGACAGTAAATCGAAGATATTGAGGTCGAAAAGTACTCCTATTACAAAAATTAATATTGGAATTTCCCCTTTAAATTCCCAAAAATAACGATAAATAACACACCCGATTCTCACAGCTGCCTGAAGATGGTGCATTATGTTTTACATGTGAGGTGTGAATCAGGGTTAAGTCTATCAGATGGCTTATCCCTACTGTCGTCGGAGTCCTATTCGACATATACCTCTCTTTTTAAGGTACGCTTTTCTATCCTCACATTAATGATTTGTTTTAGTTATATTTTCATTCGACCCTTTATTTTCTTGTTTGCTTTTGGCCTTGTTGTCTAACAAGTTGCTTTTAAATATGACTCAACGTTAAGATACCGTTGTTTCGATCTCTTTCCTTCAGATGCTAAAACTAGTATAATTTCACATTAAAGTAGTTGAAACGTTGAAAATTATAATAAGTTGCTGCTATGATATTTTTTTGTTAGTAGCAATAGTAGTAGAAGTTTTCAAAATTGATAGTTTTTCTATTCACCTCTAAAGTTAGTTTTAATACATGACAAAATCTTATGGGAAATCCATCATAGCCCAAGGATTACAACATTACTCCCGCCAAGAGCAGTTATAAAGCTTCAGAGTTTGCCCTATCCATAATTTCTGAATATTAACTTATTTATATGTGTGTGTCTGGTATTAGTTTAACTTCATGTCGATTCTATTTGAAACGGGAACTCGAATATTTCTTAAAACTTCTGAAAATTTTTTAAGATTCTCTCGGGCACCTGAAAATAAATCATATGCCAAGACGTTTCACTCCTTCAGAATATCTTTTCAGCTGCCTAAAAGAAGAAGCTGAAGTTTTACCACAACCTACTGACTCAAATTTAACAGTGTAATTTGGGCGGAATATATTTTAGAAAATAGTAAGCGTATACTTAATTACGTTTTTAACAGATATAAAGACATTAAAAAAAAGAAACGAAAACTAACTGTAGTGATCTAAAAATCAAAATTAACTGGATACATGCAGACACTAGGACGCGCTGTAGTAGAAACGTGTGTGTTGATATGATATGAAATACTATTTGTACGTATAGCAAACATGTTTGGTCAAAGTACTGAAAACCTTGACATCAATAGTATCGGTAATTAATCTAACAGCTTGCTACTCTTGATGTTTTAGGGATCAATTATTAATATAAGGTAACACCAAAACTTTTTATGTCTGTTAGGTCTGTTATTGGTTATTTAAATACTGTTTACTATGAAAGAATCGATTCTTAGATCAAATATCGTTGGTTCTGCTGATCACATAAGACTGAAAAACCGAATTAGGTAAACAGCTTTTTTAAAAGAAAAATATATATGCTGCTATCTTTAGTCGAACACGGCCCAGCGGTTAGCATGCCGGACTGTGGATCTGAGGTTCCTGTTATTCGCGATCTGTTATTGCCAAAACAAAACCGGCATTCAAAACTTTATAAGAGTGACGGTCAAATCCCACTATTTGGTATTTGTAGAGTAGCCTGAGATTTTGTGGTGGGTGTTGTTGTTATGAATTTAGGCGTAAGGAACACCAATTGGAGTTGAGAGAGTTGAGAATACAGCCGGGGATTAATCATTCTCTAAGGAATTAAAGGATTGCAGTACACTAAGTCATTAGAAAATAATTGGAGTGAGCGGATATAGCGGCCGCCTTTCTATGTTACCAATATGGAGACTGCAAGTCCATATATGATTATGAACTGTTATAATCCGATATACTGGAAACAGGTGCAAGGTCAGAAAGAAAGGGTCCAGATCGGCGTGGTTTTAAGAAAGGAATACAAAATACAGGAGTTCAACGGGAAAGAAACGACTGGGAGATGTGAGAGAGAACGAATAAACCGAGAGAGGCGAAGGAAGAAAGTAATATGCTACCAGTAAGAAACAAAAGCTATTTTTAAGTCTCTGTGTTATTGATTACAAATAATAAACAGCAGTTTGTGATGTTTACATTGGTATGCTTGTTTTCTAACAAACAATCAAGATATCTCCCTCTTTCATATATTGTTACTGAAATAGTTTATTTCACATTTCTAAGAACTTGTGTTAAAGCTTTGTTTGGCCTTGGGCCTACATACGATATTTGTTAGTAGTTCCCCAATGTATGTTTCAGAAATTTAATGAAAGTGTTTTCTCTTGTTCTTCTTGTATATGTTATTTTAAGTTATTGCAGTTAGGGGATCTAAAGATGCCAGATTAAAGACCACATCTGAATGTATTCCAAGTTTTAGTACCTATTGTAAAGATAATCCATCCTTATAATGTAATCTTATTTACATCTTGTATAATTTATATTGGCATAGATCTTCAATATTAAAAGTGACTTGCGCTTTCTGTATCACTACGCATCACACTACGTTTCATCTTATAGTGTATATGTGGTAGAGAATGTATAGTTCACTAACTCTTCCTAAGTTCATGTCCGTCTTTTCATGTTTCTCATGGCGTTGGATAGATGAACTTCAAACAAGGCATAACCAATATAATGTGTATTATAGAGACAACTCAATGCATCTTAGCTAAAAGAACAAGGAATTGTCTATGTTAGTGTGTAACCATAGAAAAACCTGAAGTAAGGCCTTATTCAACAGAATTCAATGGATGTTTATTAAACGCGTTCAATAGGAAGATCATCTGAATCAACAACTTGCACTGGACAGCATTGTCAGAGACTTGTTTGTAACATATTGAATTTCAGGATATGCTTATTATATCCTTTCTCTTGATACGCTCAATTACTCCCTTTTCTCTAAATATACTCGTTTCCATTTCCTCTGGAATCAAAAGCCTGTCAACTTTTGTTCCTAGGTTGGTATTGTCAAAGCGTAACCAGGGTGAAATAAGTAGGAGAACGAAGCAAGTAACTTTATATGTAGGCGATTAGATAAGGCAAAAAACAACTACTTCTGTTTACAAATGCATGCAACAAATAATCACGGTACTGTGTGCAAAATTTTAAATTAGATTACCTACATTGGCGAGTATCCTACATAAACTTATACATTAGAGATAAACCACGAATTTATACTAACTTGTACAAGTATCTTTACCACCCCTTGAAATAAGTTTAACGTCACTTCAGGTGGGAGGCACAAAAACAGAGCCAAGCAGGTATAACTTTATAATAGCCGATTGTAGTGTGCAACCTTTACCTAGGGTGGATAATTAGTGTATATTTACGACCTTCATACTAACTATATGCAGAAAACCTGAACGAAATTCAAAAAAATTACCTAAATATATATATATATATATATATAAATAAAGATATATTATACACTAGTTTTTTGAAGAGTGAAATTAGCAGATCTTTCAACTGCAATATGACTATGTTTCAAGCAAGTTTAATGGAAGTTGTATAAATTATTTCTTCAGGGATATGACAATTGCAAGTCAAATTGTATTTCCTTAAATCAATAAAATGAAAATACAAACTTAACTCTACTAAAGTCATATAACGTTTGAAGTATATTACAATACTAGCTATCGCACATTTAGAATTTTTTAGTGTTTCTTTAACATTTGTTTTTCAACAAGAAAGTCTTAACATTGTTTTACTTGACATAACTCCAAATTATGCAAGATGAAATAGATAAAGGTCGGAAATGTATATATCACAAGCTTCTACGACAAAGGATAAATCCTTCACCTTCAAATAAACAATATAGTTTTATATTTTTCACTAGTGGTGGAATCCACATCTTATTACATAATATTGAACAGTTTTATGTTTTATCTGTGACAACATTCAGTGTAGAGAAGTGACAAACAAATTGAGTGAAATCACAAATTTTCTATGTAAAATATATAGGGGACCCCAGCAGTAATTAGTGGGATTAGTTTTGAAGGAAACTTGTTTAAAGTTTTTGTGTAACTCGTATGTTATTAGAGACCATATAAAAACAAAGTCATGGAACTACAAGCAATTTGATGTATAAAGAGTTT